AATGCTGAGACAATAGGACTTTTTTAGTATTAGGGATTAAACTCAAAGCCTTGTGCATACTATTCGAGAACTCTTACCATGAAGAATAGATTTTTTGATCTTTTCATCATAAACAGTAGTTGGATATGTTATTTAGCACGGTTGAATATTTTTTATAATGCACACATATGTCAGAACACCACATTGTGCCCCCCACATATACACAGTTGTTACTTGTCAAACAAAAATGTATAAAAATAAATGTATTAGAAAACAAGAAGCATCGTTGACTATGAAAATATTAACTTATACTGATATTAAGAAACTCATGTCTCTGGTAAAGTTACGAACAATTTAACAGCTCCCTTGGATTCTTTTTCCAGCTTATACTGGGAATTCTTGCACCTAACCCTTTGCAGTCACATGGCCTCAGAATTTACAAAGGTACTGTTGACAAACCTTGTCTTAAGTAACTGTCTGGCAGTGCTGTCCAGTAGACGGGGCAGCTGACATAGTTATTTTGCACATGGAATGTGCCTCACAGATGGCAGTGCTGGGGCTGGTGCAGGGCCTTGGACCCTCAATCCATCATCCTCCATTGCCATTCTTGGATATTGACCTTATCTCCCAGGTCATATAGATGGCTTCATTTTTGATGCCTGCATGCCTGTGACCACCTAAGTGTCTCTTTTACTGATATGTACGTCTAAACTTGTCTCAGGGCAATGGCATAATGTATGACTGTTACCTCCTATTGAAGAAGAAAGAAACGCCAATACTAATCATGTTAATATTAACAAAGTCTGGTCATCTTAGAGCACATTTGAAACCTCAGCACTTAGAAAGAGGTGATAAGACAGGCTCCTGCTTGAGGCCAGCCTGGAGTACACAGCAAATTCTAAGTCACTATGGACTACACAAAGACACCACACCAACAAACAACTCTCCCTCATTAGTTTTAGAGCCTATTCTTGAAGTTATATCTTAGAGATGATAAAAGTGCTAGCAAGAGTAAGGAAACAGGGTTCTGAGAGGCCCGTGTTTATTTGACAGTGTGGTCTCTTGGATATGTTATCTTAAAATTATTTTGTTATTGTGACTATGTGTCTGTGTGTGTGGGCATTCTATGTTGTGCATATGGAGGTCAGAGAGAATAACTGTGGAGTTGGTTCTCACCTTCTACCTTTATGTGGGTTCTGGAGATTGAACTCAGTTCCTCAGGTTTTTGTGATAAGTGCTTGAAGCCACCAAGAAATCTCATTTACCCTGGACGTCTTTAGGATGTTCTCACTACTCTACCATGATTTTTCAACCTTGGAATAACAGAAACCCTTCACTCTGGTAAACACTTGGCTGAACTTTTACAGCAGCAGCGTCGTGCTCAGAGCTCTGTTTACCATTTTGAAAATATAACTCGACTTGTAAATTTCTGGTACCATGTGATGAAGAGTTGCAAGCTGTGAATCAAAAGGAAAGCTGAAGTCTGTCCTTAGGATGAAATCTAATGGTTACTGTTTGACTGTGGGAGGTCAGAGTTCACAGTGCCCAGAGAGATGCAGAATGAATGGGGAGGGAAAGGACTGAGCAGATCTGTGCTCCCAAATCAATAGGAAGACTCTGATCAGAACTGTTTAACAAACTTTGGCCACACCCAGGCACTTATAAAAATATAAAGCTGATAATTTTTATCTTCAAGTGTGAACTAGAGGGGTTTATCTTTTTCTCTCAGGTGAAGGTGATATGTGAAATCCTCGGCAACCAATTCAGCAAAGGACTTTAACCCATTAAAATGATGGGTAGATGCTCGCCTCTCATGCTCTAACAGGCGTGGATGCTTCAAGGTATTCCGGACACTAGCGAAGTTGCAGGACTGTGGAAAGTTCTGAGGGTTCCTTGGGAAAGAAAGAACTGACGTACAGCCTGCTCAAGTACCTTGGCCCTTTTAAAGGAAACTCAGGATGAAGTTGAGTTACTTCACAGCTATGGGTGACTACCTATTAGAATGGAAATATTTAAATTTGTTGCTTTTATTTTGAGACAGACACACTATACAGCTGAGGCTGGCCTTGAACTTGCTCTGTAGCCAAGGCTGGACTTAAAATTTGAAAGCCTCTTGCTCCAGACTCCTGATTGGTGTGATTACAGCATATACCACCACATCTGAGTACATTTCAGCACATAATGTGCATAATTTTCATACTGACAAATGTCAACCCCCTCTAAAACCTGCTCTTACTTGAACAAATTTTCCATTGTATCTTTAGATGGGCCTTGTAAAATTTCATACTCTAGTTTATTCTGATGCGAAATACAAAAGTGACAGATGTAATGCTTCAATAATTTTCTTCCAAGTAATCGCAGGCAAATGGGTATCAGAGTGATCAGCAATGTTTGTTTAGGAAGCATGGAGCCTTCTAAGTTTTCTCCCGTTTTCTCCTGGTAGTAATAGCTTAGCCTCAACATTATGCACAAAAGAGACTGTCTTGGAATAAATTTATTAAGTCACTGACTTTTACTGACTGCTTGCAACTAGAAACAATAATAAAAGAATTTAGGGCCCTCAACTCCAAATTTCAGCCCTTATGTTTTAATTGTTGAAAAATAAACTTGGTAAACATGGGGTTTGGTGCTTTAACTCAGTGGCAGCACACTTTATTAGGCCCCCAGTTTGATCCCTAGTACTGGGGAAGAAAAGAAAAGAAAAATGAGAGAGAGAGAGAGAGAGAGAGAGAGAGAGAGAGAGAGAGAGAGAGAAAGTGGATGGCATGAACTGCTCTTATTTCTCTTCCAGGAGATTATTGTAAGATGTTCGAGAGGGCTGGCATCCTGGGAAAATTTGACGGTTTTGTGATGGTATTATGTGGGCAGTTCTCCAATCTCTGTGGGATATCTACAGGCACTTGCAATGATGCTAAGGAACTTTTTCAATTTCCTAGTTGGCAGGACTGTTACTGAGTGCACTGCTAACTTCATAAAGAATCTCAGTCACCTGAATGTCCTCTTTGCTCATTGCTTTGTGAGAACGTACTTTTCTGTGCTTGGTACCACAGCATTTTGTGGATATTATTCCTAGACAAATAAGCATACTGGCTTTTTGGCCTGCTTTGCTGCTCAACTCTCTGTGACCTTCGGTAGATCAGATTTTTTCCAGTATATAATTCTTTGTGGTAATTGATGTCTAGAAGATTCTGACCCAAACAAACAATGCCTTCTGGTGTTATTTCCACATCTCTAAATTTAATGAAAATCAGACAATGGTCCGGATGTTCATATGTGTTACTACTTAGCAAAATGCAGGTATTTGGGACAATATTTTGCAAACTATGAGACCCTATGATAGACATCCTCAAAGGAGCTCCTAGGAGGTACAGTGGCTTACACTGATGCTCACTCCTTTCATTGGCTTGAAAACACCTTCAAAGATCTTGGAAAATTAATGTTTCTCAAAAACTGAATTCAGTACTTGAACTTAGACTTTGACTCTCAGCTGTTGAGCTCCTACTTCAATGTCTAAGTGTGATACAGTGCAGGCAGCAGTGGCATTGTCTGGAAATGCTCCAAGTCAAATCCTTGGGTCCCAATAGGGACCCACAGAGTCAGAAACTGTGGCTGGGACAAAGGAACATGTTTTCAGAAGTCCTCCAGGGAACTTGGTTTTGGCTAAAGCTTGAGCATGGAGGCATAAGCTCTTGAACCTCTTAGTGAAGCTTCTTAAATGCCAACTCACCATTATCCTACGAATATCACTTGGACAACTGCATTTATTCCCATTTGATACATAGTGAGCTCTTGTACAATCAGGATGACTTGGGATCTCATAGCCTGTTTTAGATATTTATGATTTATTTCTTGGAATTCTTATATAACATGGGGACATCAAACAGCTTCTCCTCCATTTTAAGATGACTTGTTTTACTACTTATTCTGGGAAGAAAACCTGTCACCCATGTTCTTTCAAGATTTCTAAGACAATTTTCTTCTTTCTACCTTGCTCAAAAGGATGTGCTTATGATATCTACCTTACATATGTTTACAGTATATGCGAATGGTAGAAGGCACTTAGTAAAAATTTCTAAAAAGAGGTTCAGAAATATAAAAAGAAAAAAACTGAACTCACTCACAGTTCTACGCTTTAATGTTTAGTCTGTTTGTGTTCACATATATCAAGGGTTATAATTTGTACAGTTGGGGAATTATGGTATACATGTTGTTTTGTGGAATATTTTTCTTTAACATCTATATGTCTTGATTACAATTTCATGTCTATAAATCTTTTATAATTGTAATAACTATAGCTATAAATATAATTCTAGACATCTCTAGAAAGGCCCAATAAGATCTCTTTCTCTTTCCCAATAAAGATATCAATATCTATCTGTCTCCTTGTCTGCCCATCTATCTTTATATATGTCCATATTTCTATTTATAAGGACTTGGATTAAATGATTATGGAGGTTCATAAGCCTCTAATCTGCAGGCTAGGCATCGGGCAGAAGACCCGGCAAAAAGGTGACATTGCAAGTCCCTCTTCCTTCCTTGGAGAGATCAGTCATATTTTAAGTCTTCAACAGTAGATGATCTGTTTTGTTCTAAGTATAACTAAGTTAAATGCTAATCTCATCTCTTATCTAAAAATACCTTCATGGTAATATTCAGCTATGTTTGACTCAATATCTGGATACCATGGCTTAGACAATCTAACACATCAAATTAACTATCACAATAGTCCCATCTTAATGGTTGTATATGTTTTATTTTATATATGAATGGCACAGAGTTCCCCTAAGGCTGGACATGCAGGTTGCTTTCAGTATTTGTCGCTGAGTCTACAGCACATTGGTTATTTGCTCATTCTTTAGGAACAATATACACGGTGTGAAAAAGAAAGCGTGTTTTTATCTTTTTAAAGATTGGTGTTAATGCTGTGAAGTTGCCTTTGCAGAGGTCTTTTCCCTTTATAACCTGAAGGACTAGGAAGAAGTGCTGTCAGGCCTGCATTGATATATTCCTTTCCTTCTCAGCCTGCCAGACCGTGGGAACTGGCATGATGCTCAGTTCCTGGGCCACGTCCTCGATTGAAGAAGTGGCAGAGGCTGGTCCTGAGGCGCTTCGTTGGCTGCAACTGTACATCTACAAGGACCGTGAGGTCAGCAAGCAGCTAGTGAAGCGAGCTGAGCAGATGGGCTACAAGGCCATATTTGTGACTGTGGATACCCCTTATCTTGGTAACCGCTTCGATGATGTGCGAAACAGATTCAAGCTGCCACCACAACTCAGGTAACTATGATCACACAGTCTCAGAGATGGTTTGCTAATTCTCTTTGCTCTTTCAAAGGTCACTTCCAAAAGAACTCTTCATATTGCAAGTGGACACCCTGGGGAAGTATTATCCATAGGAACACTAGTCCCAAAGCGTCGTTAAAGGGTCTTGTCTAGGAAGGATAGGCTCTCAGTTCTAGAAACTGTGTCCCTGACACATATATGTATAATCTTCAACAAGTGACACCTCTTATGTCGCATGTTTGAGCTATTACAACTGAGAAGGAATTACCGTATACTTTTAAAATCCAAGTCCTTTATTGTCAGGGTGCACTCGGAATTTAGGAAGCAGGAAAGAACATACAGATGGTGAATTTTGCATAGGTAAGAGTTTTTTATTGTGATCTTGGTACCTGACTTCTTTGTTATGTATATGAGTGTATTGCCTGCATGTGTGTAAGTGCACCCGTGTCATGCAATGCGGCACGGTTATCTAAAATCGAACTATAATGATTTCACCAGGTTGTTCAACCTTATTCTAACTTTGAATTGTCCCTTCCCTTGTAGCATTTTAGGTATGGAATCAGCCTGAGTCAGAGTCAGAAACTGATGGAGCTCAGCAAGAAAGGACTGTTTCCTTTGGCTCTGAACCTCTTTTCCCACTGCTTTAGCCTTCTATATTCCACACCAAAATCAGCCCGTGGGCCTTTCATTGCATTTGTGCCTGATCTGTGATATCCCTTGGGGCTATAAGTCTCTGTACAGGGATCAAGCCATTACCTTAGCAGAGGATGTTTAATGATGGGATCCCACAGATCGTATGAGGTAACCAGGGACATCTTCCAGGGAGTCTAGGGCTCACTCATTCCATGGAGGCCATGGTCCATTGCGTTTACATTTTATTTGTATTTGGAATAGCTAGGACTAGAAATATTGATGAAAGATAAAGGAATAAAAACATCCACATGTAAGCATTCTCTGTTTACCCTTCCGAAACAATCCAAAGTTAACGCAAATGGGTTTTCCCTGTAAGGAGAAGACGTCGTTGGAAATTGGGGATTCTCTATGCATTACAGATAGAGTGTAAGTCAAAAATCCATATGTATTCTTGTATAAATGCCACACAGTTATCATTTACCTTTTCTGCGAATCTAGCAATGAGAGTTTAACCACTGCACATAAAATTCTGCTGTTACACCACATAAAAATTAGCAATGTAATAATTATTGGTGTCACTACCCTGGGTTGCTTCCAGAGAGGGTTAGGATATTATCTCTGTATGTGGTACTTGCAGTGGGCCAATGCCAAACTTGCCAGAAAAGCTGTGCCCTGTTTCCCAGACACGGGTAACCCAGGTACCCTATAGGTGGAGAGAGATGAGACAAAATGAGAAGATCCCGACATAACCCTATGCTTGACAAATTCACCAGAAAACAGGTGAGTTCCGAATTCTCTAATATGCAGCCCTCTCTTAATTTCTTTCTCTATTTCGACTACCTATTTTTTTAGACTTTTTAAAAAGATTAGCTTCTCACTATCTCAGTTTCTTACAGGAAACCTTGTTATTTCCCTTTGGCCATTTGGAAACAAGTGGGCCCTCTGCCTCCTTCCTAAAAACACTGCTGCTACCAACAGCGAAATAGTTGACACTGCCTGGTTTGCGTCCTGCCGGTTTGTTTATTGTGGGTTAAGAAGCACTTCTTGTTCTGATTAGCCAAATGCCTTTTGTGGAGGTGTCCAGTCAGGTGGGCACGAGGAAACGGCTGTGAATTCCGGCTGAGACCTCTTGCTCCTCAGTGCCGGGGCCACTCCGTGAGGAGCTACAGGCCTGACTTGGTTCCCTGTCTCCTTTGTTCTTGGACTCCTGCCCAGATGACGTGCTGGTGGTGAAACAAAGGCCCCTTTCAACTGTTGGTGCTCGCAGGAGTGCCCGTGGCTCTCCAGCTTGTCACAGCTCTGGTCCGAGGATGATCAAATAAGGAGCCACACAGCCAGGTTATGGGGAACAGGGAAACACCCTGCAGCCAGGCACACCCCAGCCCCAGCCCGCACACTGGCAGGGTTTGTCCCGGGGGCATCAGGGCAGCTAGGGTCTTCTGCTCAGCTCCTCAACGGCCACACTCGGAAGACAGCACAGAAATGGGAAATCAAGCTTTCTGCTTGAGGTCGCCTTCACCTTAGTGCTACCACTCGATATGAAATCAGTTTCTTTTCGCAATGACCTGACTCATAGGAAGGTGAAGCCTGGCTTTTCAGAAGTGAGGTTTGGCAGGGGAGGGAGACAGGAAATCCAGAGGAGAATGAGTTGGTAGCCGTGGCTCCCTCCAGCCGTTGCTACTTCCTCTGCCCGGGTGGAGGGGGAGGGTCCCCACTCCTGGCACCCGGGAGCAGAGAGAGTTCAGGGGGTTGGCAGTTTCCACTTGGTATCTTTGTAAAGCTTATGCATATGTGCATATGTGCACATTATGAATGGCACAAATCAAGACGGAGAGAGAGAAACTCACTACAGAGTCCTGCGGCTGTGATTCGGACTTTTGCCTGGTCCGTGTTCCGTGGACACGGTTCATTTATCTGTCTTGAGATTTGGTTTTTCCAAGCAGTACTGGGAAGTTTAAAGAGAAGTAACAAAGGCAAATGAATTATTGTTGGGAAAACATATCGAGGGTTAAGTGTGGGAGGCTAAAGTATCCACACCCAATCCCTGGAGCCTGTTACCTTACAGGGGCAAATGCGCCTGGCACGTGGGATTAAGTTAAAGACTTGGAGATGGAAAACGATCCTGTTTTATGGTAGTAGACATAATGCAATGAAGAGTCCTTATCAGGAGAGACCTGAATGTCAGAGTTGGAGAAGGAGCTGAGACAACGGCTGGAGTGTTTGGGCCGGGTGGCCAGGAGCCAGGGAGGCAGGGGTTTTCCACAGAGAGAACAGGGGAGGAAAAAGACTGTCCTCTGTGGCCCACAGAGGGAACAACACCCATGGACCTCTTGAGTTGAGCCCAGGGAGAACAATTTTGGACTTTCTAACTTTCCCAACTATAATAAATTCATGACATTTAAGGCTCTGCATCTGTGGTTATTTGTTACAGCAGCAATGACAAACAAATCTGACTGTACTGATTGCACATTTGAAGCAGCTTTGCAGTAATACCCACCCTGGCTATCACATTTCAAATGCATTTCAGCTTGTACCTCTTCCAGTTCCTGCATCTCTTGTTCTGCCCAACTGTCTTCTCCATTTTGTCCACTGCTTGCGTTCTAACAAGCTCTGTAATTTGCATGTTGGTTATTTCTATCATGGGCAGAGATTTTTGACTATCTTTCTTACCCGTGTGTACTAAATATCTGAAGCACTGACAGATAATAGGAGCTCAGTGTGTAATTATTGAATCAGTATCTAAAAAATGCCAGAGCATCGGGGATTTTCTCAGTAACATAAGGAGGAAAACCTTGAGCAGGCTTGGAACTCAAAGTGGATGGCCTCAGTCTGTCTCGAAGTTACCTGGCCACATTGAGAAGGAAGTTACCCGAGGTGTGCTCTGCACACAGAAGTAAAAGGTGCGGTGTCCCTGTTTCCTGCAGAGGACTATGTACTTCTCTCTCAGTTTCTTTCTTCTCATACTCTGACGCTATTTTGAGCTCTATGGGCTTTTATCTTGTTTTATTATATTTTATTTTGGGGGTTTAATGTAGAGATGTAGCATTATTCTTAATAATACATCATCAACATTTATGAAATCATGCTACGATTGGTGTTAAGACTTATTAGTAATACCATTGGCTAGTAACTTTAGTAATTATTACTATTGCTAGATACTGACTTACTGAAATCTAAAATAATTTTTAGATTAAAGGTATATTAAGGGGAAAGAGCCACTGAAGGTGTAAAAATTACCTTGCAAAGAAGAAGCACTGCCTCTTTCCTTTGTGTCAATTAGCTGCTCAGGATTCTGAAAATTAAGGCCTAAGTAGCATGTGTTATTATTTTTATGTTGCCATTTCCTTCCTTAAAAAACAGAGCACTTGGTTATCAGGAGCTGCCTTACGTATCTCACATACATGTATGTCATAATCTGAATAAAAATAGCATTCATGGCAGTTTCTTTCAGAGCCGTTGGTAAAACACTCCTTCGTGGTTCTCTGTCAAGATATCTGAAAACTTTTTCTTGGCTTCTGGTTTTGAACAAAGTTTTAGAGTAACAAGGCTTCATTGTGCCCTGAGATTTCTGTAAGGCAACATTCATTCAAGTGTTGATCTGCATTTCACCATCCAAGAATAACAACAGTTATTTATATAATTTTATCCATGTTTCTGTTTTTTCCTATCCATTTCACTCTTTCACCCACCCTTGCTGAAGCGCTGTAGCCTGTCTTGGATGGGGGCAGGGTGCCCTGCAGGGTGGATACACATACACATGCTTTTCTTTTTTTCTCCTGTTCTTATTATGGGATAGACAGATTGGACTTGTCCTTTTAACATAGCTATTCAAAAGTTTGAAGGGTAGTATCATTTTTAGGTAATGGAACGGGTCTCTCTCATAAGGATATTGAACAGAAGGCTTAATTTAGTTCAAGTAAGAGCAAGGACTCTGATGAACTGTCCAACACTGAGTGGTTTGACTACAAAAAGGGAAAAGTCCAGGCAGTCCATCAAAAATCCCTCCCACAGTCCAGAAACTAGATGGGCATCCATAAGGGTCTAAAGGCTTGGGATTGTCTAAGATCTTTCTGTGTACATGCAATTACAGGTCCCAGTGAGGAAACTGCCACTGACTCAGTACCCTGAATAGAGTTGTGTGGATCTGGAAACCCATGTACACTTAAGCTACATTAGTTATTTTAGCTGAAAAGCACTAAAATGTAAAAGCATCAGTTTTGTGTGAAAAAAGATTGTCTAAAAATATTTTTGTAATAGTGTGCTTAGATGCTTGTAACTGTATATAATTTTAGTCATAGCTCCAAGATTGTTTCTGTCTTCACTGGCAGAGCTGGTGGAGGGAAAAGGGGGCTGGGCCTAAATCATAGATTATATATAGCTATATTGTTGCCCAAAAGAAGAATGGCTAGCACGGTCACTTGTAATATGTAGAAGAGGTAGGTGAATTCAGGTTATTGCCTCCATTCAAAAGCAGCCTTTGAATATTTACTTTGCAAATAAGTTGGTACTGTGCTTAGCTAAGTTCACTTGGAAGGTGCCTTTGCATATCCAGATCAACACCCATCTATGTAGTGGTCACAACTGCAAGCAGAAAGGATTTTGTCCAAATCTAGCCAAAAATATTAAGCTAAGGAAAGGATATCACGTGATCCAGTAGCAGCGTCTCAGATGTTAGAGAATCACTAGGCTGAACCAGAACAAGAAGCGTAGACAGGGGAGGGCCACTCCACAATGGGTACGTGTTCCAGCGTGGGTTTCTTGAGAAACAGACTGTGAGCCAGCAGTTCAGTGCAAGTTGTTTACTTGGAAGGTGAAGAGAATGTTGTTAGAGGCATAGGGAAGTAGAGCTAGAAGGGGAAGACCGCACAAGGGAGGTATTTTACGAGGGCAGAGAAAACTGTGGGCAACTGAAGCCTCATCTGTGGGAACAATCCGGGACACGTGCAAACTACATCTCAAGAGTGAGTCTACGCAGACATGCAGGAGCTAACACTTGGTTTGTCGTGTTGGTGGTGATACAGCCTCAGGAGCAAGAAAAAGTCACAGGAAAGAAAGAACAGTGGTGATAATTAGAACGTTCATGGCCTTGACCGGGTTCTCTGGATGATCAGAGTTTGAACCAACAGCCAGAGAGCCTTGAGAGAACAGCTGAATGAAGGAGGGAACTGCAAGAGTGGCCACTCCTCTGCTGAGAAACACTTCCTATTCTCCTTGCCACTATCACAATAGCAGAGCAGGCCGAACATCTACAGGTAACAGACAGGAGGCCTTAGCATACACCACCACAGCTCCAGCTTCCTCTAGTGCGGTCTTCAAGGGCACTGAAGGTTTCACAAGGTCAGGTGCTACAGCCACTGTGGGACTGATCCATGCAAAGAGCAAATAGCCATCAAGAGACTTGGACTGGATCCCGTGTCCCATGCCCTTAACCAGCTTTATTCTTGGGGCAGCTCATCCTGCACTTCAGTTACTGTTTCCTATAAAAAATGGGAATCATAGTGAATTGGGTTCTTAAAGGAAAAATGTGAAAATATAAGTATACAAAAGCCTTTTGTAAATTATAAAGCACCATGCAAATGGTTCCTATTATATTTAATTTGCATAGCTGGCTCAAAATAACATGAAGTCTATTGTGTATAGCCACAAACTGGCTTAAACAGGAAATGTTTGAACATGACCATATATTGTTCCTCAAAACTGATTGCCTGTATAAACGCTCAAATGTAAAATAAGCTTTAGGTGGCCAGTTGAGATCACTGGATTGTCACAGCGAACATCAAGCCATAGAAAATATGCAGCGAACCCCACAGTAAGTGATTGACTAATCGGTTTGAAAAGGGACACTTCTCGTTGAATCAGCTGTTATAAAGTACCTCTAACTCTCATTTTATCTGTGATTTATTTTAGAATGAAAAACTTTGAAACCAACGATTTGGCATTTTCTCCGAAGGGGAATTTTGGAGACAACAGTGGCCTTGCTGAGTATGTGGCACAAGCCATAGACCCGTCTCTTAGCTGGGATGATATCAAATGGCTCAGGCAACTGACGTCACTGCCTATTGTTGCAAAGGGCATTTTGAGAGGTTTGTCATTTCAGCACTTGGTTGCATACTGAATTTATGATCACTTACAGATATGATGGTTTTTATATGTGTGTGTGTGTGTGTGTGTGTGTGTGTGTGTGTGTGTGCCTACTTGTCTATGTGTGAACCATGTGCCTATGGGTACTCACAGAGGCCAGAAGAAGTGTTGGTTCTCCTGGAACTAGAGTTACAGATTGTTGTGAGCAGCCCCAGGTGGGTGCTGGGAATTGAACCCAGATTCTCTTGCAAGAGTAGCAAGTGTCCTTCACCACTGAGCTGTCTCCCCTGCCGCCCCCCCCCCCATTCTCTTTTGTGGTCAGTAAATCACTCCTCATTTGTAGGCAATGTTCTGAAACAGAGCCGGACTCTCAATAAGCAGGAAACTACTTTCTTCAAAATATTGGGATGTCCTTGCTTTATATTAGAGCCGTTACCAAGTCACAGAGTTTGGCAGAATACCAAGAGTTCACTGCTTTACCTAAGGCAAGAGTAGTTGATCGCAGGCTAGGAGAAGGCCCAGGGGTGACATCCTCATTTGTAGGCAATGTTCTGAAACAGAGCCGGACTCTCAATAAGCAGGAAACTACTTTCTTCAAAATATTGGGATGTCCTTGCTTTATATTAGAGCCGTTACCAAGTCACAGAGTTTGGCAGAATACCAAGAGTTCACTGCTTTACCTAAGGCAAGAGTAGTTGATCGCAGGCTAGGAGAAGGCCCAGGGGTGACACTGAGAGCAGACCTGCTTCAAGAGCCTTTTTCTTTCCTGTGTCCCTTCAATGGGTAGGGCTAATTTGTGTGTGTGTCAAACTCTGCAGATCTGTGGAGAATGCTAGAAGAGGACTGGAGAACCCTAAGGTATTAACCTGTGGGAATTAAGGAATCTGGCTCTTAATCCACCATCCACATTTGTTCAAATCCCTCAGGAAGTTACAAGGATGGCAGTAATTTTGCAGTGCAATGTGTTCACCCATGAAAATGTTTTCTTATCTTTAAAAATACAAGTTTTTTTTTTTTTTTTAAGGTACGTTTACAGAGAGACTACCCAAAAGTATGTTTAAAAGAAGGTGTTTTTGAATAAGCAACTTTGGGAATAGGGAGTCCAGTAACACCTCAGGTTTAACTTGATCATATTTAAGTCCTGTGCCTTGTATTTATGAAGCTCTGCGCATGCCATCTACTTCGATTCTGTAACCTTATTTGTATAGAACTGAAGTTCATAAAAATTGAAGAAAATAAATGGACTCCATGCAACTCTGGAGTAGTGGGAATGTATTTAAATAGAGCTCAGTCTTTATCCCTGCTTTTGAGGATAAAAGAAACAACTGTTAAACTCTTCCCTGTCGAACATTGTCCTAATTCAGAATGTCTGTGGAATTTACACTTCAGTGTGCACATGGTACTTTGCACACAGCTTTTAACAACAATTTAACCCACTTTCCTTATCAGTCGTGATGTATCATTTCTTATAACTGTAATCAACTGTGGGCACCAAAGAACATGGACCTGGCGATTCTGGGTCATTCATTCATTCACTCTCTTATTCACCCACTCAACTATTCATTCCTAGACATTTATTATGCTGGTGTTGCTCTAACTTTTGAAAAATAAGAACTTGGGATTTCTGGCCAACAAGAAAACTAAGTTTTGCAGGAGACAGACATGTAAACAAGCATTTGGATTCTAATAAAATGGAGAAGATGCTGATCCTGAGGTAGAAATCTATGTGGTAGACTAGTAGATTTCAAATGGCTTCTGCTAATTATGAGTACATTAAAAAGATTCCATTTCTTGATGAAAGATGATAGCTGAGATTGCCCATCATAGCAGATTAGATAATCATCTCAGGCTAGTTCAGACTAGTAGAATAAAGTGGCCATGTTACAATTTACATAACACACTACCCATATTAAAGGATGTAGACTTCATCCAAGGTGGTTGAGAAACACCTTGGCAGATGAGCATCATAGGAAAACCATGCTTTGGGCAGTGGTCCTTAATGCCATGTGTGGTGGCCATTCTGAAGCCCAGGAGGACAAGAGAGGACTGTGTGCAAAGTTGGAGCAAGCAGGGAAGAGACAAGCAAGTGTGAGTGGGTTAAAAGATTAACGCAGTTAATTCTAGGGGAGCTGAGTTGAAAACACAAGGAAGATAGCATTTTACTTTAGTTCCCAAGCTGGCTCAGTTAGATAAGGGCTAAATACAATAATGAGGTCATTTCTTAGGTCTTTTCGTTTTAGCTGATTTTGCAATTTTGGATACTCAATATATATAATTTTCTACAAAGTTATCCTCTGGAATATGAAAATCCATTAAACTATATTTGATATCAAGTGGTCCATTAAAATATTCTTTCATATCTAGAATTGTGGCCTGTGACCAATTTACCCAAGACTGCCAGCCCCCCTCCCGTTACCGTCTCTTCTCATTCATATGGATTGTCTGGCCTGTTTCTTCATACTTTTACAATATTTTGCGCACAGTAACAGATCAAATGTTTACTGGGCAAAACCTTCAGTGGAAACCATATGACTCATACGACTACCTAATTAGAGAGAGCGCAAAAAGTGAGATAAAGAGAGTGAGGCAGCTGAAAGGAAGTTACTTAAACATGTAAAGTTTACATTGCCTCGTTTTCCTGTAATTATTTACTTCCATTATTTATCAAACAGAATCATCCCTGTGACAACAGCTGCATCGAGCAACACATAGCCTCAGTCTGGATGCTGGAAGGGATGGGGTTGTTCTAAGAAACCCGGGGCTCGTCCCTTCAGAGATTTTCACCCAGAAATCACAAGGACTGACGGACAATCACCCATCTCTTCCTTCCCTTTTCCATTCACTAGAGAAGTGAAGATGAGTTTTCAGGAATGTGAGCAGCTGTAAAGATCTAGATGAAACATCCACTGTGATTACTGCTTTCAGAATTACACTTCAAGGAATGCAAATAGGAATGCAAAATGTAATCTGTTGCTGTGGTTAATCTCTGCCCTGGGAGAATGGTAACAAAGCTCTAAACATGTGCTTCAGAAAGGATTCGGTCTTTACCAGAACTCACGCTAACAACGAATGGCTCTTATGAACAAGGGTTTAATGCTTTTTGGAATTTCTTTTTTCTTTTTTTAACCAGTTCTTTCTCACTTTCATTATGAGTTTTTGTTTCTGAGAAACTGCTCTGTAATTACCACTTTCCATAAATACTCACTTATGAAACTCTTTAAAATATTCATTCATTATCCTTGGGTTATTTTCAAAAGTGCTGTCATATATCTAGAATTTAGTTATTAAGCTTATACAAATCAGTGTAGAGTTCTGGGTCTAAAGCTCCATGAGCTTGAGGTTAAAGCTTGTGGATGTAGATTGGGCTTTGGTGGCTTAAATATGGAAAACAATATACAAATATGACACAGACCATGCTCTTCCTGCTGACTATTTTCTTTCTTAAACAGTCAGCGTATTTAATGGCAAAGGCTCGAGCACTGAATGTCACACTGGTGTGCTCTGTGGATCAGTGAAAAAGACAAAGATTCATGAATATTTTGCCAAGTTCAAACACTTTGACCCTTGAAATTGCTTTTATGTTTGGGTTATAAAGTAAATTACTAAATTAAAAAATAAAATGTAAAGTCATGGACAGATTTCATAAATTAAGAAAAGAGAAGCCCTTTCATTTGACTGTGAGCTAGTCTTATGCCTTCCTGTCTCACAAACTTATAGTCCAGTCTTCTTAAACCATTGTCATTTGCCTCAACATTCCCACACTGCCTAGAGAACATGGAAACCTACTCTAAATTATCATGATAACAGACTTTTTAAAAATAGCGTTTAGTTGAAATGGTAGACCCTTTCTAATCCAATCGTGACTAGGATATGACTTAATTGTTTCAAATGAAACTCAAACTGACTTGCCCACTCCCTGTTCTTTTTCTGAGCACCTTCTCCTTGTCATATCAGATGAAAATGAAGTAGCAGCTTATATTTGTCTGGTTCAGCACCGGCCGGGCACTCTTGAAACACTCAACCCCTTTAATCCACAAACCACTCTGATAGGGATTATCATCTTCACTGGGAGTTTAGGACATTGACACACACAGAAGATAAAGAACTCTCTACTTATATAGCAAGTGAGCAGCAGCCATGGAATTTCAGTCCAGGTGCCTTAGCTTCAGCTGGTAATTGCACACTATTTATTAATAATATTTGATTTCTCAAAGAGCCTCACCTAAAGGAAAATAAAAGATTGCACACATGCTCAATTATGGAGGCATAAAATATCATTTACATATGTTTTTTAACATTTGATATTTGGTTTCATCCATATGGCGAGGTAACCAGAGGCAGCCAGAGAACTTCAGAATATAGTTGTACATTAGCTATTATTAGTTTATGGCTACATCTAGACTCTTAAAATAGTACTATATCATGTAAGGCAATATAAACACTAATGCTGCTGTCTAATGTGGCATCTATCAGTCACAGGTGAATACTTATGTAAATTAAGATGAAAATTTCAGGCGCTGAGTCAGGAGGTCACAATTCCATTATTTTTTAATTTTAATTTTTAGTTAACATGCAAAGTGTTAGGTTCTATTATGGCATTTTTTGAACACAATTTGCTTTGGGTGAACCTTTCTTCTTCATCTTCCTGCCCTCCCTTGCCTCCTTCCACCTCTACTGGCCTCCTTTCTCCTCACATACCATATGTTCTATTGCCTTCCCTCTCTTCCCAATACCCCTTTTCACCTTTTCTTGGTCTTCTTTTTAGTTTCATGAACTCTACCTACTTAGATATATATGGACATTAAAAGCTAGTGTCTGCACATGAGCAAAAATAAACATCTGCTTATGTCTTTCTGAGTCTGAGTTGACTCACTTAATAGAATTATTTGAAGATCCATCAATTTTCCTGAAAATTTCATGCTTTTACTTTTTGTAGTTGAATAAAATTCCATTGTGTGTACGGGTCATGCTTTCATTACACACCCATCAGTTGATGAGCATC